ATACCCGTCTCTGTTCTAAGAGACCACCAATGAAAACGGCAAGAATGGAACTCATGGCAAAATATCATGCCCTGCATTACCCACAAGCCACCAAGAATGGAACGCATGGCAAAATAACATGCCCTGCATTACCCACAAGCCACCAGGTTTTGATCTTTCACTCAAAACATGGTCCACTCGAAATAGGATCAGAACCAGACATCGCAGATGTACATGTATGCTACACAAATAGGGGAAAAAACCGTCTCCTCACTGTTACTGTGGGGAGAACCAAACCATCGACCGCATTATTGAAGAGTGTCCCTCAAGATCCTACAATGGTAGCCCTGAAGACTTCCTGTTTGCAACTTCAGAGTCAATTGATTATATTAATACACTTGATGTTTGTTTGTAACTATTTAAAATTTGTCATATACCTATATTACTAGTGTTTGTAATTTGGTTCTAAATATATTGTAATTGCCATACGATAAATAAATAAAAATAAATAAATCAAGACAGTAAAATTTTATACCATTTTACAAGTTTTTAGATCATTGTAAGCTATTTTTAAAACCATGGTATAGTGCCAACCACTGGGAATTTCCCTTTTAAATTTCAATTTAAATTATTATTCATTTAATACGTTTAACTGTGGAACAGAGTTAAATCAAATTTATTTTTTGGCTTTTACAAATATATTCTTGTCAACAATTTCTAACTTTGATGACGCTATGTCTATCACTACAAGTTTGCGGTCAACAACGCATAATTATTATTTGATAAAGTGCAAAAAATAACTGCTGTAAATCCCTGCCAAGAGATTAATTTATTTCTTTAACCATATACAGTAGGGTCTCGTTTTATGCGGTGGATAAGTTCCACAGAAAAGTGCATATGCAAAATTGCATAAAAAGATATTACTTGGGTTGAAAAAGTAGGGATATGTCATGTAGCCTTCTAAACTTACATAAAACTAAGACAAAAACCAAAAAGTTTCCAGAAATTAAAGGAACTACGCTGCATGATATATTACTTAGAATATGTGAAAGAAATTCATATAAAAGCTTAAAAAAAAACTGGTCCATATTTCTATTCGTTTTTGTTACTATTGATATTTATTCATATCGTGTCGATAAACAGGAAAACAGGGGAACCTGTTTATTTTACCAGTATTGTTGTTGAAAGTAAACAAATTATTTATGAACTTCGTCTGTAGGTGGATGTTTTCCCAAGTTTTCTCGTTCTAAAACTTGTTTAAAATAGCTTAATTCTTTAATGCTTCTTACGTTAGAAATGTCCTATGGTTAATTTTTGCAAGAGACTCCTGGTTCTAAAAAACACAAAATTCAATTTGTATTATAAAAAAATTACTTTTAATTACTATCCATCCCAAAGAAATGGACGGAGGCATATATCACAACTATATTTAAGAAAAGAGATAGAGAACGATGCGAAAACTACAGGGGAATAAGCGTAATACATCATGTATCATCAAAGATACAATTCGATTCTTACTAGGAAGAATCATGGGATGTTTCTCATTGTAAGAGAGATGGAGAGCGTTGGAAAGTCTACCTCCAACACGTAGTGACGAATATTTCTGACCATAAAAAACATTTAGTTGCCTAAGGGATCTGTTCTAGAGAGTTCTTCCACTTTTTAATTCTTATAGTACCCTGTGAAATTAAATGTATCGTACAATGCTTAGTGTTGCCGCTTCAATTTCTTCATTCTGTAGGGAAGATGAGAGCAATGGGAGATTAGAGCTTTTATTCCTCAGATTTTTGTTAAATCTAGAAACATAGGCCAATACTCTTTGTATGCGAAAGAAAGTCGAAAACTTAAAGAAAATGAAATCTAAGGTTTCATTCACTTGTATTTCAGGGGAGGCCGTGGTTAATGTAACTTGTGTTGACCGAATCTCGGGTAAGTTTTGCGTGATGAGAATAATCTTAATGCCGAAATTAGAGCACATGCGAAATATTATAAAATCTAATACTGTCCAGAATAAAATAAAATAATTTTAATGTTTTTTTATAATTAATTAATTGTCAGACTATATATTTTAACTTAATTAAGTTACAAAAAATAATAATTTTTTTTTTTTGGGGAAATTCGGAATTTTTTCAATTTTCTACCATTAGAAATAACCACCTGACTTTCATAGTTGTAAACTTTCTTTTTTGTTTTTATAGAGAAAACAAATATGGGACGTAATTTGATAGTACCTTTTTGTTAATATTTTTTTAAAAGAATCTACTGTTTTTATTTAATAATTTTTGATATTAAAAGGCCAAAAAGTTGAATTGAAAAAAACTACCAACATTCGTAATTACGGTCCATTGGACCGGAATTAGATTATATACTAACATTGTGACCTAATACCGGCATTATTTGTTTTTGTAAATCCTACTTTGTTATGTTCCAAAAACTAAAGTGATTTATAAAAAATACAACTATAAACCGTTTCTAATGAAAAATTACTGCATGTAGGTAAAAAAATATGTTCTGTAATAATTTGTAAGCAAATATTGTATTGTAAGTAGCCTCGTATTTCCGTGAGACTGTGCAAAAATATATGTATCTGTAATAAAATCATTCAACAAAAAGGTACTCTACCAGGAGTCTATAAAATTATCAATGACTCAGACGTATAATAATACAAAGTTTCCAGATTCCACTCGATATTAACATTCAGACGTGCCTGGTATAATCTTTTAAAATATGAACCAGATATGAACAATCAACCAATTAAGTTTTCATCGAACTTATGACAAATTCACGTGGACTAACGGCCAATGAAAACATCCGATATCGCTGTTATGACAAATCATAATGCATTATCTTTTGTCGGTAGACATTCATACTTGGGGTAAGATTATATCAGTATTTGACTAAGCTTACGGAGTAATAAAATAAGGGATCAGGTTTCGACCGTCCAGTGCCGAAAGCACGGGACGGGGAAAACTTACGTAGGCAAATTTTTATAATATTTTATTTTTAAATTGCGGAGATGACCAACAGATTTTTGGGAGACAAGAATATTTTTAGTAAAATCATAACTGCTACAGCATTCAGTTAAATTCAAATTTCAAATAGTGAACCGCAAGTTAGTTTGGTAGTGACTTTTTTCAGTGTTCTTTATACGGAAAATGATGCGCATTTCAATAGAGTTAATATGGGCTCAACTTAAAGGAAATATAATGAGAAGAAACGTTGCTCCAAAATTTTGTGCCTACTGTACTCCAGTTAATTAAAAGAGAAGTCACAAAAATTACAGCAACCAACTGGAAAAATGTAATAAAAATAAAACATGTGATCGGAGTGGAAAATGACTATGTTAAATATTTACCAGCATTAACCAAATTACATATAAATTTAGATGATACGAGTGATACTAGTGATAAAAGCGATTCTGAGTAGATAATAAGTACTTATTAGGTGTTAGTTGAAACCTTTCTTTCTATTTTAATTGTAGATATTCTCATTTTGCTTATATATCTTTGAAAACAGGGTATAAACACACATCTTGATGGGAAAAAAATTATTAATGTTTTAGGGGAGGATGTCAACTGAAACTGTCACTGTCATTCTCGCTGAATAACTACTATTATTAACATCGAGTTAGAATCTATGGAGAGGGCATCACGTGACTAAAAACGACCTAACTTCGGCCATATTGGTATTATTGTTTTGAAACTTTTGACAGATCGTATATGTTTGGTTATATTTGTTGTTTTTCGAATATTTTCAGTATTATAATAATTTTATAGAAACTGTAATATATTGTGATAGTGCATAATAATGGTTTCTTGTTCTTAACTTAGTTGCAGTAGCAGAAGTAATGTTAATAAAAAATCTTCAGGAATATCGTTCCACACGTTAGTATACAAATATGTAAACAAAGTAATGGCCCGTATTTCAGAGAATAAATTAATACTATTTGACTGTATTAATTTATCTTTATATATAATATATCGTGTTTTTAGTGTTTACCGCGGGATAAATAAATCATAGTTTATTAAAAATGTATTGCACTTTTTTAGATTATGATTAAATCTTCTGAATAACTAGTCATATTTGTATAGTAGTTTTATTATTATTGAGTCTGGCCCTGATGTCACCGCCATATTGGTATTATCGTTAGCCACTCCTATCTATGCCGTTTTTAATACATACGTTAATATGCTCATAGCTTCTCCATAGATTCTAACTCGATGATTATTAACAATGTTTTATATAGATATTATCATTTTACAATAAGTTCTGTTCAGTCGAGTCGATTAGTGTTATCACTCCCAAGATATATCACAGAAGTTAAAAACACCAATATTTTTTATTTAAACTTTATAGAAAATGAAAATTTTTGGTAAATAAAATTAAATAAAAGTAAAAACTTTTATTTAATTTAAAATTAGATATCTACGCTACTGTTCTACTACTATCTACTACAATAAAGGAGTGGTAACTCTAACAGCGTTGCCATTTTACTAGTATTTTGCTTGTTTTGGTCTCTATAAATTTTCTCACGAAATTACGTGCCGACTATAACCAATGAATTTTTCAATGCTTACCTGAAACATTAAGAATTGACGACCTCTCTCGAACTGATTGCGTCGCTTGATTTAATCAAACTGACTAAAACAAAAGCTAGAACATGTCACCCCACCATTTATACATACAAAATAGCCTAAAACATTTCTGACTAGGATACAAACGTGCCGTAGTATTAAGTTTAACCAACTTAAACGTATTTACAAAAGAACTTTAATTTTTTTTAATAGGCCGAATTTACATCATGAATTTGTATAAGCGGTTAATAGTTAGATTTACCTTATTTATATATCACGTGGTCTTAAGATTCTATATCCCATACTCTATCGACAAATCTTCATTTGTATCCAACAGGTAATACTTCAAGAAGGCGAGGTTGGCGATATTTGTATCTATACAAATGTAAACATGCTTTAAAAATATATCTAAATGTGTTTTAACGCCTACAATGTTATTACTGTTTCAGAATTTCGGGATTGCTGTTTACTTTACACGTTAATGCTGATGATGTCTTTATTGTTGGCGATAACTTTTGTTTGACAAATGGCTCGTCAGCTATTTATTTCACTAATCCTAAAAGTAATGAAGACCAAGGTAAGATTTTTATTTTACTACACTAAGCATTATGAAAGTTTCTACTAGCTATGACGTTTTTTACTTTCTCATGGACTTATTTCCGCCGAAATTAATGAACACGACTTTCAGAACTTCTCAAAATGTGATTAAGGTTATATTATATTTTAAAACAATGGCTAGTCGTAAAGCTATTTTAGATAATGCGGTGTCAAAAAGAAAATTGTTCAGAAAGACCATTGGAAAGAAAACGTGGCAAAATGTAAGAGACAGAGTGGACATGTATGTATCAAAATTTACGGGAAAACTGTACAGAGTAAGGTATTTTCTGTTATCCGTACGTGTTGTGTCGAAAAATGTTTTACAAAAATAAGCTCGCAAGATCAAAAGCGTTTATTTGACCCTTTTTATGATAATGGTTCAAAAAAAGAACAAGACCTTCTTCTAGCAGGTTGTATGGCATTAAGGTAGTCTCCAGAAAGCCCCCAAAAATAATAAGCAGACAGTATTATTGGAAATACAAGCTTAAAACTTCTGGTTATGATGTACTCGTGTGCCGTTGATTTTTGTTGACTTATATCAAGTAGGAGTGAAGCTTGTAGGAATATTACAGAAAAAAATTGTCGAGAAAACTTCACTTGATGAAAAACGTGGAAAACACTAAAACTAAAGAAAAATTTCAGATAATGTTTATTCTATGGCTTTAGAACATTTAAAATCTATTCCACATAAACCAAGTCATTACACACCTGAAAAAACACATATTGTACTTTGACAACCCAGACCTAACGATTTAGAACATTTTTGAGCAGTTTCAAAAGTTGGTTAAAGACACTACTGGGAATAATCTTATCATGAAATGTAAGACTTATTTGAAGTTTTTCAGAAAAACTAATTTTACGTTCAAAAAACCAAAGACTGACACATGTGATTATTGTCGTAAGTGTGAAATTAAACTTGAAATAAACCGAAAGGATGAATGCCGTGTTGATTACAATCTCCATAAGAAAAGAGACTCGAGGCATATTCCAAGATAAAAAATGATTGCTTGGCAACAGATGAAAGTGGCATTCTTATCCTGGAATTTGAGTACGCACAAAATCTACAATTGCCAAAAAAAATAACAGTTCTATAAAAGACTTTTATGGACGTACGTATTCAATATACACGTGCATAATCATGGATCATCATATGTATGTATATTCCTTCACAGAATCCCAATGTCAAAGGGAGCAAGTAGTGTTGCTTCATTTTACTTTGACTCTATTCACAATAAGTTAGCAAATTTTCCTAATACCAAGCCTATTGTCCTTCTATCAGATGCAGCTAGAGGCCAAAATGAAAATCAGACTTTGTTACTGTTTTGTTCTTAGATATCAAAACTATACAGAGTCCAAGTGACACATATTTATCCTGTTCCGAGGAACCCAAAGTGTAACTAGAAAAAATCGTACATTACAGACAAAATCTTTCTCCTTTCTGCCTCAAACATGACTTCTCTATAATATATGACTGGGTTGCAGCACTTCTTCCTTATTTTTTGGAGAAGTCTGTGAATAAAGATTGTGAGTGTAAAACACAACAGTATCGCGTGCTGAAGCATAAATCTTGTGGGGCACTGGCTGCTTCTAAAACCTACTTTGAATGTATATCCCTTTTAAATATGCAAAAACGTTGCCACTGGATCTTATATTTACACCTTTATCTTGGGTTTTTATTAAACAGTCTAAATAAAAGACGTGAGAGTCTTGTTACAGTAGTTAAGAGAAGAAAGTAGAAACTACAAACTTTTATTACAAGAAAGCACACCGGCTGAAAATGACAATGAGAGTAGTGCTGATGACTTAGATGGTGAGGAAATTTAGCATAAAATTATATTAAATATAATGGAGTGTAAACAAAACAGTTTTTTTGTTGTACAAAGACTTTGATTATTATTTTAAACCTTTGAATACTATAATATATAACTGTAGTATACTATACAACAGAAAAAAGTTATAGGCCTTTCTTCTGCAGAAGACGTGTTATCCTGCCAAACGTGTTCTCCAGAAGAAGGGCTTATGTAAACTTGTTATACTCTTTATTTTAAAATGTTAGAAGTTAGATCTCAGATGTTAAATCTTTGAATGCTTGTTTCTCAAAATACACTTTTGTCACATATTAAATGCGTGTTTACATATTTGAGGTCTACCAAATTCTCTATTTTTAATACACGATTGATGTTCACTTATTCCAACGTTTAATGGCCTTGTTGTTTCACCTAAATAGAAATGATCGTACTCACAAGGTTTTTTATAAATACAATTCTTTGTTCTTTCTTGTTCATTGTTAGGTTAAGTTTTAGATAAAATATATCTTATTGTGTTTGTTGTTTTGAATGTTGTTGAAATAGGAAATTTGTTTCCTATGTTTGTCGGAATAGTATTATGAGGTTTTTTTCCTCATGATTTACTATGGAATCGCTTACAGGCAAAAATAATACCGATTTCATACCAAGGGCATACTCTTCGAGAAGACAGGTAGGATATTTTACATAATATTTCAGCTTATCACGAAAGGTAAAATCAAGGGCGGCAGAGGAATTGAAAGGAAGATATCATGGCTCAAGAACATTCGCGATTGGATAGGAGTATGTAGTGCTGCAAAACCATCTCGATTAGTTGAAGACCGTGAAATGTTTACCAATGTAATTGCTAATGTAAGGGGGATCTAATATCACACCGAAAGAAGAAGGTACTTACCTCGTGATTATATTTTTGTTCAATTTTTGTTAAGAATATGATTTTAATTTGAATAAAATATTTTATTTCAGTTATATTTCCATTTCTACTTGTAGAATAGCTGCCAAATGTTGAAATAAATATTTTTTCTTCAAACGTCAAATAATGATGACATTACTTATCTAACTTGATCCTGTCAAAGTTTGATGTCTCCGCCGGCAGCAGTTTTTTTTCCATTTCTTTACGGCGCCGGCGGAGGGAAAAATGTTGTCATGGCAACAATATGAAACATGTCACAAAGCAACAATACAAATGTCATTAACAACAATTAAACATCATTTTTATTTATAGTAATATTAAAAGTACAATTAGTTAATGAGGCATTTTCAAAATTGAAACCGTGCAAAAATGTTCCCGACTCTTGATACGCATTGGTAATTGTTGATGATACTGATGGTCGAAAACAACTTTCAGCAATCATTCCCGATGTTAGCGAATCATGAGGGCTTAAAATTTTTTGAGCATTATCGTTCTTATTTCTTATTGAATCCTCTATATATCCTTCGGCAACCGTGCTTGATTTCCAGCCCCCATGTCGTTTGAGCCATTCTAGATTTCCACCTCCATCACTTGCCCTCTATTACGCGTCTCACTTCGTTCGGCGCTTAATATCGGGCGCTTCAAGATAAATCATGCTTCTCCGCCTCATAAAGTAATATACTATTATTTTATGAGTCTTGTTATTAACAAAAGTTACAATAGAAGAAAGCATAAAAAGAACCATAAGGGATGAAGCCAAAAATTTATGTAAGGATGGAGTAAGGAAAACATTGTAAGATTGGCATCATCATCATCAGTGGCATTACAGCTCGTTATGATCCAAAGCCTTCTTCAGAACAATCTTCCATTCACCCATGTCTCTAGCAACTCTTCTCCATCTTTTAACTTCGATGGATTTTAGATCATCCTCTATGTTATCTTGATACCTAAGTTTTGGTCTTCGTTTGGCTCGAATTCCTACTGGTCCTCTTGGGTCGAAAATTTTTCTGATCGTTGCCTCTTCATCTCGCCTAATTACATGTCCTATCCGTCGAACGCGTGCTAATTTAATACATTTTACAATGTCAGGTTCCCCAAAACTTCTGTATAACTCAAAGTTGTAGCGCTTACGCAACAAACCCTGTTCTTGGACTGCTCCATATATTTTCCTTATAATTTTTATTTCGAAACGTTTAAGCAATTTTTGGTCGTTCTGTGTAAGTGACCACGTTTCTGACCCGTATATTAATACTGGTATTATTAGTGTTTTATATATGGTAATTTTAATTTTTCTGGGTAGTTTTGGGGCTATCTCTTTCCTCAAGTCATAATAGCACTTATTGCCAAGCGCTATTCTTCTTTTAATTTCTTCGCTGACATTGTTGTATTTGATCAGCAGCGAGCCCAGGTAGACGAAGGAGTCCACAGGCATTCTCAGTGCAGTCGCCTTTACTGATCGAAATGCTTCGATCAGAGATTCTGTACACCTAGCAATAATGTCTATGTAATCTGCATATCCGACCACTTTATCCGTACATATTTATTAAAGATGGTGCTATTCGTATTAATATGGCACTCTCGAATTACTTTTTCTAGTGCAAGGTTAAATAAAAGACACGAGAGTCCATCTCCCTGTCTCAGTCCATTTTTATAATGGAAGGGTATTGAAAAGTCGTTTTGGATTCTGACTACACTCTCTTCGCCTGTGATTGTAAGTTCCGTTGGTTGAACAAGATGAAGCTGCATTTGAAATTCCACCATAGCCTGTAGAAGTTTTTGTCTGTTGACTGAGTCGTATACGGCTTTGAAATACACGAATATTTGATAGGTTTCGACTCCGAACTCAAGCGTTTTCTCAAGAATCTGCCTGACTGTGAAGATTTGATCCGTTGTTGATTTATTGGGTCGGAAACCGCACTGGTAGTTTCCAACTATTTGTTCAGCATAACGGATCAGTCTTCTGTACAATACGTTGGACAATACTTTATATGCCACGTTAAGAAGAGTGATGCCTCTATAGTTGTAAGGTTAGCAGTAAAAGTTTATTATGGCGATTTAGAAATCTCTTATTTTATTTATAATTATATATTCTATTAATTGCTATAGATACTTTTTGCAACATAATTGTTAATTTTAGGTAAAAATGGTCACTTAGGTGTTACGTAATGTTTAGGTTAGTTGAGGAAGATCTTGTAAAACGTTACGAATCGTTACATGGTGGGAAGGGGTTTAAAAATGTTCAAAAATTGCGTTGCGTAATACTTGAATGTCCTCTTACCAATGATCTTTGAAAATTTGTTGCTGGTTAGATTACAACTTACAATTATATCAATATTTTTAATATCGTTTTATTATAAAAAAAATGGTTTTTGTTTTAGAGTCCATTTTGTATCCAAATCCTCCATCTTCAAAAATTACCTGTGATTCTCAAACAATGGTATGTCCTGATTGGCTTATGAAAAATTGGTATAGAAAAGATTCGTATAGAACTTTTTCTCCTTCAATTATAACTGATAGTCGATGGCAAAGTAAGTATACGGTTTATTTTGTTAACCCTACTATACTTATACATAGTATCAAAATTATACATTATATTTTATTTCTGTTGTTTTTATCTGAAGCAGATTATCCAAAATTTTAAACAAAACATAAACGACCAAAAATTTTGAGATTATCAACAATTGTACTTTTCCACATTTTCAGCTTAAGTTTCCATTCAAATTATTGTCGATTTTTAAAGAATCAATTATAATGTATAATTAAAATCTAGATATAAAATAATTTATTAAAAATAAACAAATATACAAGGAGATAACTATTTAAAAAAGCAACTAAGGTAAGGTGGGGTAAGTGCGGCTTAAAAAATCAATAGATAAAATTTTGAAGTTTTGTAAAAATTTTATTTTTTAATTATAACTTTTAGTGTTTTGTTGCTGGTTTAACTATCAAATACGATGTGTCACTGTACCCTTCTTGTGAATTTCATAAAATCTTGACAGCAAATGAGTGCTGGAAAATCATATTAGGGTCTAAGAAGCTTTTGTTAATTATGAATTTACATTACAGATGGTACGTCAGAAGAAAACGGATAAGACAGTGGGTAGATTCAATGAAGATTCTATGAGGGAAGCAGTCAATCTAGTTATCAGTGGTATATCAATTCGTCAAGCTGCTAGAGAGAAAAACTTAAGCTATAAAACCGTAAGCAGATACGTAAAGAAATACAGAGATGATCCCGAATGGCTCCTAACTATAAAATAAACCAAATATTTTCTTTGGAACTAGAGGAAGCTCTCGTTGATTATATCATAACCTGTTCAAAAATGTTTTACAGTTTAACAATTACCGATTGTCGCAAACTTTCATATGACTTAGCGAAAGCAAATAAATTAAAAATTCCAAAAAATTGGGAGGAGGAAAAAAAAGGTCGACTGGTATAAAGGATTTCGCCATAGACATCGTACAATATCCTTAAGAACTCCAGAGGGATGTAGTCTAGCAAGAGCAGCAGGATTCAATAAAGAAAATGTAAACTTATTTTTTAATAAGTTGAAAATAGTTTTGCAGCGACATCCAAATTTTTCAAATGGATTCAGAATTTACAATTTAGACGAAACCGGAACTTTGACAGTTCAAAACAATTCGACAAAGGTGCTAGCCAAAAAAGGCACTAGACAAGTGTCTAAAATTTAAAGCAGTGAAAGAGGTACACTTGTTACCACATGCTGTATTGTAAGTGCAAATGGAAGTGCAATCCCACCCGTAATGGTATTTCCGAGAGTCCATTTTAAAAGTCCATGTTAGCAGGAGCGCCATGTGGGACGTTAGGCTTGGCTACGAAAGCAGGATGGATGAACACAGAATGTTTTATTGAAGTTTTAAAACATTTCATTAAAAATACTTGTAGTTCAAAAGCTAACCCTTCACTATTAATCATGGACAACCATGAGAGCCATATATCTCTTGAAGCTATCATTCTGTGCAAAGATAATGGGGTCACTGTTTTGACTGTGCCTCCTCATTGCACCCATCGGTTGCAACCATTAGATGTGGGTCTGCTAAAACCGTTTCATATATTTTACAACGATGCTTTAAGTTCGTGGGAAAAAGCTAATCCGGGCACACCTGTAACAATCTACCATGTAGCATCATTTATGGGACTCGCTTACCCCAGATCTATGACACCTGTAAATATATCGGCAGCTTTTAAAAAAACTGGAATATTTCCCTTTGACCGTCACGTATTTAATGATGATGATTATTTCGCAAGCCAAGTTACAGAACGACCATTAGTTAATTCACCAAATATTGATCCAAAACCATCTACCTCGACAGGAGGTACCACAGATAACTCTATCAAGAACCAGGACGTAACTCCATTACAGAAATTGTCACCTTCATCCACAAGTGGAAGAAAATTGACATTTGTAAGTCCATCAGCTATTCGTGAATATCCAAAAAAAAAGTCTGACCATTTCGGTTAAAACTAGAAGAAAAAAAGGCAAGACTATGATTGCTACTGACACTCCAGAGAAAAACGAAATTGAAAGTAATAGAGCCAAAAAAGCGAAAACAGTTAAAAGAAGCATAATCTCAGAAGACATTAAAAACAATGATGATGTTATTGAGTCGGAAGACGAAGATGGTAAAACTTATAGTCTCCATAATTCTGACACGTCAGAGGGAAGTGAAATATTTTCAGATAGTGATGATGAAGACCTATGTGATTTGACATTAGATCCAGCCAAAATTTGCGACATTAAGATCAATGATTTCTTATTAGTGAGACTCAAATATGAAGCCCATTCCAATAAAGAAATCGAAAAATATTATATTGGGAAAGTTGTGGTGATAAACACCATTGGTACGATGGAAGTCAGTTTTTTACGTAAAAATTCAAAAAATGTCACATGCTTTGTGTTTCCATGTGTCACAGACATTGATGTTATATTCAACAACCAGATTATAAAAATTTTGGACCATCGAAAAATTAGCAGGGGTCGACACTTTTTTCCTAATGTTAAAACGGACTTGATTTCATAGAAAACAACAAGCATTTATAATATTTTTCTATAGATCAATAATAAAGATACGTTTTTATTGTTTAATTAGTCCTAAATAATAATACTTACATATTACAGTTGAAAAATGTCTTTGTGTCAGTGTACCCTTCATACCAGGGAACACTGACACAATGCAAAGTTTCAGACTTTTTTTAAATCTATTTGTTTTCTTAATTTATAGCAATGTAGTCATTCATGATGTATTTGCAACACAATAACACGTCCAAATTGATATTTGCAAGTAAAATCCTATTAATGGTCTAGCGATGACAGAAATTCAAATTTTTCTGTGTCACTGTACCCACCTCTCCCCTATAACCTCTTCATAACTAACTTCATTAATGTGACAAAAATATTTACATAGTTTATTTTTTCCATAGAAGTTAGCCAATACAAAATCGATTAATTTGGTGTAACACAATTATTGTTATTTTTCGTGTTGCACTGTTCAGTTTTTTCTCCCGCTTCATCACTGTAAACGTCTTCCAAATCATCTTCACTCATGTCATTCTCTTCAGTTTCCCTTCCGAAACCGCTTCATTATGATCAACGTCTGCCAAATCATTTTCACATATCAAATTCTGTAATTCTGTCTTCACTACTATCACTTTTCCAAGAATAATCACTTTCTTCAGAACTAATGTCCTTACGTTTATTTACTTTAATTTGCTTGCTTTCTTTTTGATTTTGCCTTAAGCGTATTCGCTGGCTTACATATTTTAGTTTTGACAGAGTTTTTGTTAGTGTTATCTATCAGTCGTTGCAGTACGTCTTCTTGTGTGATTATTTCAGTTCCAGCAGAGATTCTTTTCCTGGGATTTTTTGTTTGAGTCGCATCACGTTTCACAGCTTTAGTAGAAGTTTTTCAAATGGAAGATGTTTTGACTATGATGAGCTTTGTAAGGAAAGTTCGTATTTACTTGTTAAGTGAGCTGGGTCTTTTAAAATAGATGGAATGGGTGAATCGGTCAAAATAGTTTCTAGAGACTCCGTACCTCAATTGATAATACCAGTTTTCTTTTTTATCGTTTTAAAGCAAAGGGATCGAAATACTCCCGTGGTATAACATGATTTAAAGGAAAAATTCCAGCTTTAGTAAAACCATTTGTTTCTCTCTAGATCTCTGCAATTAATACTGAAAACATACACTTTGGGAGTTTTACCCTAACATTTTTTCTCTGCCACTGGACTAATTTAGCATCCCAGTGACTTTTAAGAGACTTATATACTGATAGATCTAGTGGTTGCAATAAAAGGCTGGTATGTGGTGGTAGCTTAAAAATGGTAATTTCATTTGCAATTGCTAGTCTTATCAAATCCATATGCGTTGTACGCCAGTCGTATATAACAACAACGGGATGCCCTTTAGATAAATTCTTGATGAAGCTTTTTCGAAGAAATTTTTGAAATCATTAGTTTCCATGCAGTCATTAACTGTTGCGGCATTTGTAGTATTTGGGTACTCAGTCTCAGGTTTGTTACCCACTGGTCCCAAACATGTTTGCCCTTAAAAATTATGAGTGGTGGTACTTTTTCTCCAGCGGCACTGCACCCGATAAGAACAGTTGTGTCTTGTTTTCCCGGATCACTAGTTGTTCTGGTTGCTGGCATACCCTTTTATCCAACAATTTTAGTCTTCGACGGATCTGCACTAAAACTGGTTTCATCAAGGTTCCACACATATGCAGGTTTTTCTTTCAATCCCAAATTATTTAAAGTGTCGTTGAAAAGTTCGAAGTAACTGTATAGAATAAACGGATCAATATTCTTTTTGCGAGCAAATTCTACGCTTTGAGGCTTTTTAAATGAGAAATTGTGCCTCTTTTTAAACCTTAGAAAGCAGTTTTTGATGGGAACACTATTTTTGAATTATGTTTTAATGTTATTTGCTTTCAAATAATCTGCTACAATTTGTAGCAGCTCCTTCCGTGACAATCCAGATCCCCATTTTTCCATTTGTCGAATACAGTTGGCTAGGGTCTCATCTTTAAATGGAATATCTGGCCTTCTTCCAGACGTATCACTTTGCTTTTCCCTTCTTCCCTAAATGTGATATGTCAGTGTGTTCTTTAGGATGCCATAAATTTTACTCACGCGGTAAATAGCAATGTGGCCACTTTTAACTTCGGATACTGCTGTGGCTAGGTCTTCTTTGCTATATGTGGAGCCTCTCTTACCCTTCCGAATATAATTACACACCATCCTGATTTTAGAATTCTGAAACAAAAGAAACAAGATTAAATTAAAATATCGAAAACACATTGGGTCTAGTGCGTACTACACAACGCACTTGCCTCCTTTAATTGTAACACACTAGCCCCCTTAATTTTTTTTTAATAAAGTAACCTATAAAACATTAAAATATAGGTGTAACCACAAATTAATATAAAAATTCTAGTTACTCATCCAAAATCAGACTTCTCTAAACGCATAGGTGAAACCGATGAATTAAGATGAAATTTTCA